ACAATTACATTTCAATTCTTTCCTGTAGTTGTTTTTGTCTTCTCACCTCCAGTACGATATCTTTCGTCCCTTTTGGCAACGTTCAAGGCGTCTAAGATAGTCTTGTTTTTGTTTGTTATAATAAAATTCTCCAGCACCTTCTTTGATAAGTATAGCAGCACACTCCGTTTTTCCCGCGCGAATAGCTGTATGCATTGGGGGCCATCCGCTTGAATCCAAAACGTTTATGTCCGCACCACTTTTAATTAGTTCTTTGAGCAATTCGGTGTTGCCATCCAAGATAACTTGATGCATCTGTGGTAGTTCGTTCTCCTCTTGTTCTTCACTTTTGCTTTCTTTGTTGTCTGTGTTTTCTTCGTCCTGTTCCAATTCCGCTTTCCCTCCTTCTTCGTGCTCAATTATATCCGTAAGCGCTCTCTTCCTAAACATTGTTAAGTTCTCGTCCGGCAAACTCAATTTACGCCGGGCCCGCATGATGTGCGATATTAATATACCCCGCTGTGTACACTTCACTTGATGCTGAACAAACAAAATTCCGTCTTAAACACAAAGCGCCAAGAAAGTGATTATCATTTGTCCGTACAGCCCTCGAAGTCCGTCAAGTATGTACTGTGCCAATATAGTTTGTGTGAGTTCCAGAACAGTTTCTTTGAGTGGTTAATATTGGTAAACTGCGGTCGAACCAAATTAAGTCAGTGTCTCGAACTGAGGGGCCTAGCGCAGATAAATATTTTCTATCAGCCACTGTTGATAACCAATACACGGCACTCGCTTGTTATTCTGTGTGGTAAATGTGGCTAATTAGACGATCTAATAAGTCAGAAGTGCTAATGAAGCGATGAACACTTTTAAAAGCGAGAAGCGATCTCGCTGATTGAACTGTACAGTAGGTAGTGAACAATTAAGCCACGCACATCGTGCGTGCTTCATTGGGAAAAATGCTGCCAGAAGTTAAGACCGGCTTTTTTATAATACCAAATGTCTTTGTTTACCAAAACTGAAAACCCTTTCTTTTGTATTTCAGTTGTTTTTGTCCTTTAGGTATTGATAAGACAGATCAGTCTTTAACAAAAGAGAAAGCGGACTCTGAACTGTTTTGACTGAGAACATATGAAATATAATAAAATATCACGCCATGCTGTTCGAAAATTTGGCCGGTTTACGGTCTCAGATAATAGTTATAAAAAGAAAAATAAACATGAGATTCAATGTATAGTCGTACTGACTCTTATCATCGAAACAGCAAGAATATAATTTAGCAACTTTAATAACGAGGGTTATGTACATAAATATCTCTTTAACACTTGACTTGCTGTTGATTGGTTTATTCTTGACTGATAACGGGAAGGGTAGACAAGGCGATATAATTGCACACCACTGAGGATATTGCTTAAAATGATTGGTTTTAATTCAGTCAATAAGTGGTGATGACTATGTTTTCGCTACGGCTCTTTCAATTCACTAAGCCGTTTATAGAAGATACTAATCTTTAGAGTGTCTATACAGAAATACCAGCTAAAGACCTATTTAGAGTGTTTCACTTTGAAGTGCTTTTGTTAAAGTGATTTTCCTTACAGCAGGAGTAACAAACAACTATATATAGGAAAAAATAAATGCCAGCATTAGTCGTCCATAGATATTCGGATTAAAAGGGCAAACGTTTATGACGGAAACCGAGGTTTTAATAAAGGCCAGATATAACGCCCAAACAAAATGTTATTGGAAGAGTTCTCGATGTGTCTTACCGTTTACAAAATACTTAAAATGTCTGTCGGTTTTTAGAAACTGTCAGTCTAATAATTTGCCTTTTACCCTGGCACTTTTGTGACTTTAAGGTTTGTGTTGTATCGACCAACGTTTGCCCTTCACGTAGAAATTAACAGTTACGTAAGTTTTTCAAGCTAGAAAGCTGGAAGGAATGATGACGTCACGAATGATTTGGTAATGTAATGCATTGTGGGAAGGCAATCGTCCTTCCTCTTAGTTTTACCCAAATTCTCAAGGTCTGATTGCATCGGCAAACACTTCTAAAAAAGAGTATATGGTCAACCTCTCGGGACATTTGGATTTGGCTCCTGCGCGTTGTTTAGTTGATATAAGGCTATAAGGCAGGCGCGTCTCTGACACTGACGTGCCGATCCCAGCGATGTCTGTTTGAGAAACTGAGAGAGGTGACTGTATTTGTAACTGTTTACTAATATCAGATCAGTTCAGTTCAGTTTAATACGCATGCTTATAAGATAAAGCGTTTTGCGTTGGTTGTCCGTGATGTGCTTCGTTTTTGCTACTATATCTCGAGACGGGTAGAGTCAACAACAACAACAACTTTATTTACATGACTATAACAAAGTATCACAGTATTGCAAAAGCTACTTGAATTCAATATTTGATTCCTTTCTAAATTAATTAATTAAAATAACTTTAAATATAGTAATCATGGCTTATTTTCAATCATCAGTACGATTAATTATTCCGGAGACAAGTTTGTCTCTAAATGAAATTAATTGGATGTTAATAAAATAGTCTGCAGACTCAGGTATCTCATCCCAAACTCTTGTGCCAATACATGAGAAAGCATTTTTTTGCAGGTCAATGCTAGAGTGTTTAGTATAGAAATTTTGAGACGCTGATGAGCGAGTAGAATATCTGTGTATACTTGATGTTCTGCAAAAAAGGTCTGAAATATTCGGCAGTGCCTATTTAGGATTACCTAGCCTGCGAAAAAACGTCCCTAGCGGCGAAGAGCGAGGAGAAACGGATGTTTTCGCGATCGTAGGCTAAGTATCAACAGTATGCATTAATTTTGAGACCTCAAAGACAGATTTGGGGTGGATTTAAAAAAGGGGGATCTGTTATGCAAGGGAAAGGGGCGTATGAGCAGTAATAGAAGTGTCGGTATAGGCAGTACGGCGGCTCCATCCAAACAGCAAAACCTGTAACGGTTGTGTTACTTCCTGTATATGATTTGAAGGAAATACCTGGAAGGCTTAATTGTTGTTCAGTCTAATCGCGTTATATTTTCTTCATTTTTAATTTGAATTTGTACTTTGTTCTGTAAAAGTACCGTACATATTATTTATTGGTATCATAATTTAAAGAAATTGTAGAAAAATTGATGAGAGGCATTGAAGGCACCCCTAACCGAGAGGTTTTGCCCGAAGGGGAGGGGTACTTCCTTATAAGAGGCTAATGGGCAACCTCGTCCCCAGGGCGCTTTTCCCTGGCTTTGGGGGCAGGGCGGGAAAAGGCCCTGGCATCGGCCGGTCACATGACCACCAAACACCCAGCATTTGTGGGTGTAATAAATTAGCATTTAAATTAGCATACGATCGCATACGATAATCGTGGCGGGTAGACCTGAGTTTTTATCAGTGCTTCGCCGGGTCGGTTTTTCCCTGAGTAACGGTAACTTTCCATCGCTTAATTTTAAACCTCTGCAAGTCAAGTGTTTCGAATCTATACTGCAAGGCCAGGATGTCATTGGAGTCTTACCAACTGGATTTGGCAAGTCGATGCTATTTCACCTTCTGCCCCATTTCATTCCTGTGAAGAAAACCAAGAATATAGTTATAGTTTCCCGCCCCGCCCCCAAAGCCAGGGAAAAGCGCCGTGGGGACGAGGTTGGCTAATGGGGCGCTGCCGCTGGATAAGGTCGCATTTTCAAGACCTGATTGACCATAACGGGGTTACATTTTCAATAGCTAGAGTTACTAGAATGGCGTCGCACATTTTCGGATCTTTGGGGTAAGAAAGTTCTTCACATTTACAATTAGCAAACGTACCAAAATGTTTGTACTGTAGGTGAAAAGTAAAGTGATCTTCATTCAATTAATAAAATGGGTCAATTCATTATAGGATGACCCTAAAGGATTGATAAGGTAGATACATAAACAGAAAGTGACCAAGTTGGGAGAGCGAAATTTACATTTGTCCGAAAGTGACTAAGATGGGGTCTACAATTGGCCGCTGAATAGACTATAACGGGGTAAGGGCTCTGAGAGGCCAGCGGCACATACCCAGCAAAATTTAAGTCAAGTGGCGGTGGTGGGGGGGAAGGAGTCTCCCATATATAAGAGACGGGAATGCTTGTAGGAAAATAAGAATCTAAGCCCTAAAGGAAAGCGATGTGAGTTTGGCTTAGGAGAAAAGGAGACCATACTCCAAGTCAGTATGACTGTAATCGTTTTCTAATAGATGTATAGATATTTCTTTAAGCAGACTCTAAGTGAGGCTAAGATTTGCAATTCCTACCTTTCTGAGCCGGCGAGCATCCCGTTCATTTTCATTTTGGAGTGTCCCCCCCCACCCCACCTACAGGCTAATGCGTGACTCGCATTCCATGGTCGGGTAGCATCGGATGTTACCCTGGGAAATGATGTTGGGTTGTTCCAAAATTTGGAACCTAGATATTTTAAAAGATATCGCCAAAAATTTTGAAGGTATTAAAATTCTAGTGCGACCCGGGCCTTACTTTAATGCGATTCGGCGTCTCTTCTAGTATGCGAAGCTTGAACGTCTTAGCTTACATGTGATAGACTTTCAGACATACCAATAACAAGTATAATGTTTCCTTAACACGATTTATAACTGAATGAATGTATGGAGATCGTAGCCGACCATGAGTCGCTCTTCTTTATTAAGGGCATTTTTTCTTGGTGTTCTTATAGTCGCAACGTGGGTGCTCTTCGTCGCTTTTCATCTCTTTGGTCGTCAAGGAATCCTCTTGAAGACAAATTCAAAAGAGAAATCCAAGATGGCGTCGGTGTGCTCCAGGCAAATAACAGTTAAAGTCAAATGTCCCGACTCACAGGACTCAATGATCAAAAGCCCTTGCCACAGGCAGACTTCTTACGTCAAATACCCCGCCTATGGCAGGCTTCCCCCCCTTCCCCTACCCCGACCCTGCGGCTTAACATTGATAGGTGCACTAATTAAAGCATCACGTTACAACTCATACCATACGAACCTCAAACGTTTTATTGTATTTTTCATTAAGCTTTGTCAAGGGACTAAAAGGGTTCTCCCGCCACATTTCTTTTCAGATGCGGATCATAAACCAAAGAGGTTGTTACTGCTCACATTTTATTTGGTTACATTTATTAGTCTACAGTTTCAATGCCAACCGTGTTCATCCTTACTAGTCGCACCCATCCAACCTCGGGCAATTGCTTCCAGCCATCTCCCTCATCTCGTTTCTACGTGCACTCATACCCTTCTCAAAGTGTTCCTTCACGTTGTTTTTACAGCCCTTCACGTGCCGTTTTCTGGCTGGGTACGAACTTAAGCATAAGGACCGAAGTTTCGTCACCGCTTCCCATGAGCAGGCTTCAATCGAAGGCGACTCCCACGGGTACTCCCCTGTCTTGCTGTTGTAAACGTAAGCAGCATAAGTGCGCGATTTTTGAAAGACACCACAACCCTTATGCTTCTTGGCGCTCCCTACAGTGGTGATTTCTACGTTGTGATAATCTTTCGACGCCTCGCGCCTTTTCCGCGATCGATTAATCTTTATATTACACGTATCAGGGGGAACTGCGTAGCCTAGGTCTCTGTCAAAAATCAAGGGAGTGGTGTCAAAAAATGTCAGGTATATGTGTCGACAGGCATATTCTCTAGCTGAACGTATTGCCTCGCAACTATACCTGTAAAAACTACACTGGCGACTCCTAAAAGTCCTATCAATATTTATACTACCATTTACTGGGGGATCAGTATCATAGGACGTTTTAAACTCTTGGGTGATGGCGTTGAAAAGAATGGTGAATCTATCGAAGTATTTTGAAAGTAAACTTCTTTCTCTTGTTGTGTGTCCTTTGAATGTACCTTCGGCCGCAATCATGTCTAGCCATAAACTATGTAAACAACTTGTTTTCGCAGACCCCGTAGTATCGTTAGCACAGTGTAGATAAGCTACGCGAAACCCTTCTAATTTACCCCTTATGTTGCGGAATGAACTTGGACTTAACGAATCATCTAAGTACTGAGTAACGTCGTCTCTTAATCGATCCCATTGACTGTTTTCTATTGGACTGTTCTGGTCTTGTTTTCTTTCAAGGAGCTTGTTGATGATGTACAAGGCAGTATTTCCCATGGGGAACTCTGGCAGAATAGCCTGTGCAGCATGGCAAAGCCATGTCAGTAAAGTCGAACTTGAGCCTGAGCAGGTTCTCGAGTGAAGTGGGGCTTCAGTCTTGGAAGAAGGAGGCTCAGGGTTTGTCTTAGAAGAGGCGCCTTCAAAGGAACAAACACCTTGTTAGAAAATTGTGGAAGATGTGATGGTACTTGAGGTTCTAAACGACGAGAATTTGGGGTTAATCGTGGTCCTCGCGTTGAGTTCTTGGGCGAGATGACACTCTCCTTTCACAGAGTTTCACTTCCCCATGATGCATGAAATAAAAAAATCTTAGTCTCTTCAGTTTATTTAAGTATTGAAACACTTAGAAACCGAAGATAAGCGCCGGCAATGATGAGTCACTCTACGCAATGAAATCTCGACACAATGAAACAGATTTTAGTTAACATTTTAGAAGAATACTCCTCTGACTAATGCCTTTTTCGAACAACCTTGTTACGTTTGTTGGGAGCAAAAACGTTTTTAAAAAGTCAGCCAGTAGCTAGTATAAGATTGATCGTGTGACAAGTCTTTGTCCCTATCAAGGTTGTATCAAGATTGTTGGAGAACGGGATTTTGGGGCTAGCGACATTTCCTTACCGTGTTTTGAAGTGATTTTGGCTACGGTCCATCCAGGGAGCTCTACCATCATCACCGTGACTAAAGCCAACAAGACGATCTTGGGAGGGATCTGCATTGCCTTTGACTTCAGTGACTTTTCTCTCCTACGAAACAAAATTGAAGTTGAAACCCGGCCCTGTTAAATATCTGATCCTTATTTTTGTTTCTGCTCTCAGTAATTAGGTAATTAGGTTTCAGTTAGTCAGTAATTAATTACTTTGTCATGCTTGCACATCCTTAGGTATTATTATACAATTATATTTTGATTGAATGCGTAGCTACAAATATGCCTGTGAAGAAACTAAAAATTGAAGGCGACTTGCCTTTATCAGTCGATACTTTACAATGAATGAAGACGTAAGTTTGTACTCGTGTTGTAATTAGGTAGAGCATTCTGACCAATGTATTGTAAGCAGCGAGTTGTGTTATAGAAACTGTTTAATGTTGAAAAAAGATATCAGCTGAGTTGATTACGAATCACCCGAAAGGACAGGGGCACCCAACGACAATTTTCGGAAGAATATCTGTTCGGAAGACGATTTGAGATCTAGAATTTTCGAAACATTTGTTGTAAAATTTCTTGCTTGCCTGCCTCTCCTAGGATTTTCGAACATCTCAAAAATGGTATAATTGCCTATTTTTAACGGATTTTTACCCTAAAAAGGTCACCTAGAATTTTCGGGAGCCTTTTTTCTGGCTGAAATTTTCGAAAAGGTAAGTTTTGATCCCTATAATTTTCGGATCACCAGACTTTCAGCTAGGAAATCCGAACAGATGAAAATGTTTTAGGGGATAAAAATATGCCTATATCTACCGTTTAAATACTAAAATAAGTTTAACAATGCTATGTTTAAGTGGTTTTGAACTATATTCTCGTTGGGTGCCCCTGAAAGGAGAAAATCTTAGGCGGTAAAATCGTCTTTCTCTACTAACCTTGGGATGATCGATTCTTCTATATCTCTGACTCTTCAGATCTGAGTTGGGCGCTAATGTAAAATTTTGCAGGTAGAAATAGTCTAAAACCATTTATTTGAAATTGTTACCTCATTGAACATTAGCGCGGAGGTCATTTTTTGTAAGGAGTTGATTGGCTCTTTTAAACACGGTTTTCAAGGTTGAACAGTTAAATTCGAATAAAGTTAATATTTAACAGTCTTTAATGACATTCCATTAGAATGAGGTTAGCTAGCTGGTAGTGATTGATACTGGTTTTCTCGCTTAGTCGCAGTCATTAAACGCTTGAAAACATATGCGTTTTATGGTTATCGGACAAAAGCCCCTACCACTGTAAGAAAATAAAATAACTGCATGGCGGAACTGAATAGTTTAATAGCTGTCAAGGTATCTGCACCGGCAAAATGGCCTCATTTTGAAAAACAAAATAAAATATTTATTTTGTTATTGTCTCATTTTAAATTGCTTAGGGTGTTTCTTTGTGCAATCAAGCACGCAGAAATGTTAAGAACGGCTGTCTGTAAATATCGAGAATCTGCCGTCAAAACGGAAATTTTGAAATTCTTCATATTCAATCAGAAAAAACCCTTTGGTGAAACATTTTCGAAAATCACAATCAAAGTTTCCAAAGAATTTTCTTTTTCGAGAAAACCGGCAAAAAGTGAGATGCTGCCCTACGCCATATAGTCAGTCGCTCGTCCAAAACCTTTGAATTACAAAGTTTTTAAGAAACTTTACTAGTACTAGTAAAAAAATTTATTTCAAAATCACGTTAACAGTGAAAAATTTTTTTCATTGATTTTCTTAATATTACTGTATACTAATAAATGGAAAAATGGGCAAAAAAGAAACGACTTTTCGCGAAATTCATTTCATGGTATATAAGAAAATTATACTAGTAAATTGTGGAATGGGCGAAAAAGGCTTGACCTTTTAGCGAGAGTTTCATTTACTAGTATCTTGACACTATTTACTAGTAAATGGTGGAATGGGCCAAAAAGGTTTGACCTTTTAGCGAACCAAAAAGGTTTGACCTTTTAGCGAGATTTTCATTTACAAGTATCTTGACACTATACACTAGTAAATGGTGGAACGGGCCAAAAGGGTTTGACCTTTTAGCGAGATTTTCATTTACCAGTGTCTGTTCACTGTCCACCCCCCCACAACCCGGTCGCAGGAATGCCCGGTCTGAACAGGGTTAATATTGTTTTGAGTATATATTCTTTTTAAATTTTTGGTTTTTCATTCATTTACTTAATATTTACTCACTAGAGAACCACACTTTGCTTATATAACAACAAACTTTTATAAGTAACCAAGGCCTGGACAAAAATAGGGGATTTGCAAGAGTTCAATGTCCTCCGATGGAATTTCATCGCCCGGAACAACAATATCGTGAGTGCTATCGAAATCATCGAAAGAAATCGTATACTGCTTGGTCTGCTTGTTCTAATTTTATAATAGTTCCCACGAACCACCCCTAGTCCCAGTTCCCATCTGCATCAGATGTTTCTACGTTCACTCGTCTATTTATCAGCAAGCCGTTGTCTGTTGAAAAGAAAAACACACAAACCACCCTCAAATGAATTAACAAAAATGAATGCCTAACTGCAGATTATGCCTTGTGCCCTCGCAGCTATAGCTACAGTAAATGTTAACAGAACGAAAGTTATCTATTTCCATCGTAACACATTGCTGAGCAATGGATTAGAAGCGCTCCATGGCATCGGAAATTGTATACAAATTATCAAGAGACTGTAAAGGGGACAGAGAGGGCATCCCCCATATACACCCTATTCCATAGGTAATTCGTCTCGAGTTATTTTTAACACCACAGATCTCAAGGGGGATTAGACAACAGCCAATCACATAGCGCGAATGTGTTCCGCGTGGATGACCCACGCTGAGAGCCACGCGTCCTTCACGAAATGACGCAGAACAAAATGGGGGAAGGTGCGGAGAGCGATTTTGCTATTCCTTTTGTCGACGAAAACGACTACAGCGAGATTTCTGCGAAAGCTGTGTCAGCGAAACCGAAATTAAAAAAGAATCGCCCTTCCTCTCTTGTATAGAGCTAACAGTAGAGCAGGGAAATCCTTAACACACTGAATATTCTCTCAGGATCACTTATAATTTACAGTTTGAAGAGAGCAATTTCTGGTTTGATGTTTATTTTTTTCAGTCTTTATAGCGATTATTCCCACCTACTTACTTTGTCAATTGTAGGCGAACCCTCCTAAAGCTGAATTTCAAGGGACCATATTCAAGCTCAGAAAGAGCAATAAAATTTCGTCGTTGCTTATTTACGTTCTCCATAAAACGCGAAATTAGGCATTTTCACGTCGTAGTCGTGCAAAAACGGGAAAGAAATGAACAAAAAGTGTGTTGCACGTGCGAAGTTGTTGTTTTGCTAATTAAACCTATTGTTTTTTTTGACGTTCTAGTTGTCGTCCGCGTCATTGGATCTTAAACTCCCTAAATTGTACAAACGACCGGTTTCAATAGACCGGCGAAATTTCTCATTTTATTAAAGCACTGAGGTTACGACAACTTCGAGTTAAACTGATTTCACGGGTTGTCAAAGAGTCCAGCGATTCCTTTTTCCCAGGTGAGCGCCGACTCATTTCGCTTCAATATTCAGGAATGCTCTCGATCTTTTTACGCTTTCATTGCCTCTCGCCCGACATGTTTTGCACGGCGTTTGGTCATGCGAAACCTCCACGAAACATCCACGCCTCGCGCGAGGTAACTTTATCCCGATTCTAAAAATAACTCGAGACGAATTACCTATGGAATAGGGTGTATATGTGGGATGCCCTCTCTATCCCCTTTATAGTCTCTTGAAATTATCCAATGCACTATGGACATAGGTGCGGAGCCCAATTATTTTAGCTGACGTGCCCAAATTCCCCACTTCTTGATTTTCGATGGTAAAGAAATTCCATTTATATGTCTGCATCGCTACTTTCTCACTCAATACGTTCTTAGATTTAGTTTTATATAAGGACAACCAGTTTCCCTCGTTAGATCGCTATAATTGGCAGTAACAAATCCAAATAAACAATTTTACCTTTTCTTGTTTTTTTTTTCGCTTGGTTTTTAAAGCGTCTGGTGGACCTGGAAAAAAAAGCATTGATTTCATTTAGTTTAGGACACATTAGACGCCAACGTGTGCTTTTTTTTACTGACTTTCTAACTCTTACAATCGTACTATAACAGTACATTTCATGTCTAATAGTTTTCTTGGAATAAAATGTTCGTTATTGGCAGCAATCCCTTTATTTAGCCATTCATGGCAATGTCATATTCCCCCGAATTCCCAGGTAGGTGAATTATCCATGTGTTATAACTTCGTGCCAAGAAGTAAGTGACAATAAGATAATAAATTTCTTGACTTGTCTTGTGTAAAGGCCCTTTCATCTAATTCCTGAATTCAACTTTACAGTAATCCCAATAGCACTGAAAAGTATACAACTTTAGCAAGAACTACGTACTTTTGACTTCTTCTTTGCAGTAGCATGATATTAAGTCTCATCACAATAAATGCACCTCTTTATTATTCTGTAAGAGTTTGGTATTTCGTTGAATTGACAACTGATTACCTTCAGGATCGTTTTTTTTGACGTCGCTTCTACGTCTCCACTTTCTTTTCCTTTCTCGCCTTTTTTCTTAACTACTCTCTGTCTGATCTCTATACGAGGTAGAGACGTTGCTTGTTGCAGCCACCTTTTTTGCAACATATACTTTATCGACGCGGTAGAGATGACTAAGCACCTCAACCAGGCTCTTCTGCGTGCCATCCTTTGGCAGAGACTCTCTATTAATAGATTCCACCGGATTTGCGGTCGATGGGCAAGCCTCCCATTGCTCCTCATCCATGAGAGTAAAAGCAGTTGTAAACATGCCTACTAATAAACAGGAAATTGAAATGTTTTAAACTCTAAAATAGATTTAAAAGAGAATGTGAAGCCTTTCCTCATTCTCTGTCTCTTTTCCAAAAGAGCAAATGAAGATAATTAAAAATTTCCAGTAATGTTGGCGTGTACAGATGAAAGTGTACAGATTTTTTGTTTGCATATCATAAGTGCCTCTGTCTGGTCCACCATTCCTTCCAGGCCTTTGCTTTCTTCCAGGAGGAATTAGTTATCAATGGTGCTCCCTCTCTTAATTTTTTATCAGTTATGAAAGCTACCGCACTGCTGACGTGCTTTTGACCCGCCAAAACGTCGAAAAGCAGGAGAACTTCTTCCTTCTTCTTTACATCTTCTATTTTCGACACCAGGTGCTGGAAGGTTGTTATCTCATCTTTATTTGAGTAGACACGGTGGCTTACCCTCTTGTAAATACTAATAAATGCATTTTCTCGCTAGAAAGTCATTTCTTTTTTACCCGTTTTTCCACTTATTAGTATATTTTATTTAAATACTAATAAATGCATTTTCTCGCTAAAAAGTCATTTCTTTTTTACCCGTTTTTCCACTTATTAGTATATTTTATTTAAATACTAATAAATGCATTTTCTCGCTAAAAAGTCATTTTTTTTTGCCCGTTTTTCCATTTATTAGTATATTTTATTTAAATACTAATAAATGCATTTTCTCGCTAAAAAGTCATTTTTTTTGCCCGTTTTTCCATTTATTAGTATATTTTATTTAAATACTAATAAATGCATTTTCTCGCTAAAAAGTCATTTCTTTTTTGCCCGTTTTCCATTTATTAGTATACATTATGTAATTTAATAAATTTGTTCCTTTAACTTTCACTGTTAAAGTTTTTTGCTAAAAATTTTTTTACTAGTACTAGTAAAGTTTTTCGAATACTTTGCAAACATCTGATGCTCCAATTTTCCCTCAGTCAGTATAATATATGGAAAGCCATTGCTGCCAAAAGCCTATCAAGTTGTAAATCCTGATCCAAACGGCGTTTTATATCATCGAGTTACAAAGGTTACATGGTCAGTTTTAGAAATGCATGGTCGAATTTTGGAGAACTATGGTTGAGTTGTTTTTGGAAAGGTTTAGTTCTCGCCAGCGAATTTTTAATTTCTCGTTAGCGTTCTCGTTGTATGCCGGAAAAGGAGAAAAACACACTGGAATTTCCACAAACAGATGAAAGCGCCCTTCATTATTTATGCTGATTTCGAAGCTTTGATCAAAAAAATCCCTGAGAGAGAGCGCGAGAGAACCATGGCCAGCTGCACAGAAAAAACAGACAAACACGAAGCCTGCGGGTTCACTTTTACAGTCGTAAGATGCGACGGCAAAAGCTGGCCTGTTGTGAAATACAGGCAGGGCGCTGATGGGCAGAAGAAAGCCGTAGAAGAGTTTCTGAGAAGGGTTCTAGGGGTTCAGGAAAAGTCGCGTGAAGCCCGGAAACATCAGCGCCTCTTGTAATGTCAAGCTATGATTGGTCAAACTTTAAAAATGCGAAGAATTGCTATATATGCAACGAAAGCTTTGTGAGACCTGAGTTTCTCGACTCGGTCGGCGCGTGGGACAGGGACACGGGCATTGCGGGCAAAGCCATAAAACGCTGCTTTTACAAACAAGTCCACAAACGCTACATTAAGAAGACGAAGAAATAAAAGAATTTGAGTTCATTGGGCCAAAAAACAAAAGAAAAGAAGAAGACCCAGCTGACAAATGGATTGAGAAGACCGATACAGACTGCTTGTTCTGCGGAAGCCCGCTGCTTCGGAAAAACTTCAGGGACTCGATGAAAGGCATTGCCACATTTGCGGGAGTTTCCGCGGGGCCGCGCACGACGCGTGCAACAAAAAACTGCGGATAAACTCCAAAACAATTCCGATACCCGTAGTGTTCCACAATCTGAGGGGCTACGACGCACACCACTTGATGCAGGCGATGTCGCAAACAGAGGAGGCTGGGGAGCGGTAGTCTGCTAGACAGCCGTTTTTTTATCGACATTTCTTTACGCAGGACTCCAAGTGAGACTACAATATGCAACTTCTACCTTTCTGAGACGGCGGGCATCCCGGTCATTTTCATTTAGGAGCCCCCCCTGCCCTCCCACCCACCCACAGGCTGATGCGTGACTCGCATTCCATGGTCGGGCATCGGATGTTACCCTGAGAAATGATGTTGGGTTGTTCCAAAATTTGGAACCTAGATATTTTAAAAGATATCGCCAAAAATTTCGAAGGTATTAAAATTCTAGTGCGACCCAGGCCTTACTTTAATGCGATTCGGCGTCTCTTGCGAAGCTTGAACGTCTTAGCTTACATGTGATAGACTTTCAGACATACCAATAACAAGTATAATGTTTCCTTAACACGATTTATAACTGAATGTATGGAGATCGTAGCCGACCATGGGTCGCTTCTCTTTATTGAGGACATTTTTTCTTGGTGTTCTTATAGTCGCAACGTGGGTGCTCTTCGTCGCTGTTTATCTCTTCGGCCGTCAAGGAATCCTCTTGAAGATAAATTACCAAAACTCGTTGTTTATCATAACAGGAACGATTGTGAAAGAAGAAGCGGCAAAGCAGCCTGAAATCAGGCTGAATGGATTAAATCAGCATACATGGGAAAAACCGTGCCAGATAAACCTCGAACAACTCTGCAATTATCCAATTTTTCCTAAGGCGCCGGATAACAGAACCTTTGCGGAAAAAATTGACTTGTTCTTCTCTAACGTTACAGTTGCTGGAATTCGACTTATAGGTTTCCTTCGTCCGAATATATCCGGCGAATATTATTTCTTGGTCGCTTCCAATGGCGTCGCTGAAGTTTGGCTAAGTTCGGATAAGAACTGGAGAAACGCGCAAAAAGCTGCGTACACGAACCCTCAAAATTCAAGCTCGGCCGTGGACAGCAAGGCCTTTAAAGCAATAAAATCTCAGATTTCTGATGGCATGTTTTTGTATGCGAACTATGACTACTATTTTGAAGTGATTTACGCTCAGGGGATTCACGAAAGCAAAGAGCACCTAATTCAGGTAGCTTGGAAAAGACCTGAAACGAAGAGATTTGAAATAATAGTTGGAGATTTCCTCACACCATACAAAAAAGACAGCCATTTGGCTCATCTACAAGTTTACGACGATGATCTGCCAGAACTCCCCTCTTGCCGGGAATTGCGGGTTAAATACCCAGTCACGAATAAGTATATGGAGCCAGAGATGTTGCCCTATTTGGAACACGCAGCAGTGGCACACGCGCTAGACTTCTGTGAATATCGACCCAGTTATCTTCTAAAACCTGCGAATTTGTCCAACTTCAAGAAGTATCACGGAGTACATCGACATACGCACAAGACAAGCGGCTATCCGTTTACTAACGTGATGGGAGTGAAACGGGCTGGTAAACTCTCTGTAACGTTTATAGGAGAATACCCCTTAGATGCGAAAGAGGCTATGTCAGTTGTAAGCCAATACTTTGAAGCTCTAAAACAGGCATATCCAGGGTAAGTAAACTATGTACCTTATTAGCTGAGTTCAGTGGAACCCCGCCTTACGGCCACCTCGGTAATACGGTCACTTCATTGTAACGGCCACATTTATTTGGCCCGGCAAAACGGCCATACATTTTGTTATAAAAAGCTCTCCTTAATACGGTCACCCGTTAATACGGCCAACAGCCACATTTTAAAATCCCAAACAGTAGACTCTTTTACAATTTCGCCCCGTCAATACGGCCACTGGTCAGAAATTTTGAATTGCATTGACCAGGAGGCTCCTGCAATGACCTAGTAAGCTGAGCTTGTTTTTCTACTGTTTTTAGACTATAGTCACTTACAATGCATTTGTGATTTATGTGTGTGTTTTATGTACTGAAGGAGTTTCAAGTAGTTTCTACTATTACGGTACGCGATATCTACATTGCTGTTGTCAGTGTTGTTTATTACAAGAAGTGTGAATGCGATCATGGTGTAGATAATTCATGAAATTTGACCCTGCCCCGGCAATACGGCCACCCCGTTAATACGGCCAAATTGTTTTATGACCCTTGGTGACCGTAGTAACGGAGTTCCACTGTAAGTAAAAAGCCTCCCGCGCGCAGGAGTGGGGTCTGTCTGCTCTCGCTTTCTAGCTTTTTAGCCCTAGAGCTACAGTCAACTCTATCTGAGAAGGCCCCCTTTGGGACCGGTCCTAAGTGTTCGTCTCAGAGAGATGTCCGTCTTATAGAGTGTCAAAAAAAGGAATTAAAGAAAGGTAGGGATCAACTCCAGGTGTCCGTTTTACAGAGGTGTCTGTCTTATAGGTGTCCGTTAAGAAAGAGTCGAACCTATTCACGCTGACGTTACTTATCTATGTTAATGTACCAACTAGAAGCGCATTGGTTCTTGAAACAAAAAGCTAACAAAAGTCTCAGAGGAGACATCTCTTCAACACGAGTGGAAAAAAGAATCTTTTGTCAGAAGAACACTTATGCGCCAATGCGCTTCCGGTTGGCACATCAATATCAATAACTGACGTCAGCGTAAGTTTCACTCACCATACACTACAAAAGCAAGAGAGCCTGTTGACAGGCTACTTAGTGAGTGATTCATTACTAGTCACCAGTTGCTGGCTACACGGACGTAGTCCGTACCTGAGCTACCTCGTTAGGCCTTTAAATAGTTGTAAGAAACTGTCAATTTGCGATGGCATAAATATGGGAGTCGCATGGATAGGTATTGGTGTTACAATGAGGAAACAACTTTCTGGACAATTTTCTGCGCGCGTGCGTTTGTTTTAAGACTGACTCTTCCCCGGTCCTCTCTTATTGAACCTCTCCCCAGTGGCGCGCAGAGTGTAATGGGAAGGACTGAGGAAAGCGTGTGAGAAAGTAGTCTTCTCTATTTTCTCTTCCCATTACCCCCTGTCTCCACCGTGCGCGTTACAAAGACGACTGAATACAAGTCAGTTCTTGAGATACCTAAACCAGGAAAGTTTCTCAGGCGATACAGATTCAGTCACATATTGGGTCGACGAAGGAGAACGCATACTAATGCAAAATCAATTTTAGATATTCGAAACATATGACTCTTAGACTATCGATCGATACAAACCTCGACACCAATTTAGTCCCCTCAAAAATATTTTCGGAGTGTATGACGTCATTGCCACAGTGCTCGCCTTCCGTCGTAGCGTTATGTTCGTTCACGTCTAATGTAAGAAGACTAATACCAGTTACAGTATAAAAGAAATTTATGTTTTTCTTTTTTAAAGGAAATACCAACTCATGTCTACTAGGCGCGTTGAAAAGAAAGACGACCCTCTCAAAGGAAGAAGATATTTCCTTGAACTTGAGGTCAAAGATCTTATCGATGGTGTCAGCTATATCCTTGCCGAATACGTGTTTCGTCCAAAGGAAAAAAACTACTCACTTTGTTATCCTAAAGGCCTGCAATGGAATAGGACAGCGGATGTCTATTTGATCCTCACTGCCAAGAAACTGGGTCGATGGGTTCATCATTTTATTAAAAATGTTGAAAAGGTCATACAGGAAACAAAAGATGAGCATATACATGTGGTTATTTATGATTTTGAAAGCCCTGATACTGATTTGAAAAAGCAGGCTCTCGAAAAGAGTTCTCTAAAGAAATATCGTTTCATCACGAAGGCTGGGAACTATTCTCGTACTATTTCGTTCAGTGACGCAATACAATCGATAAAAGACCCAAACGCCATTGTTGTCACAGTAGACCTGCACCTGGATATTGGAAGTCGGTTGATTCATGACATACGGAAGGTAAGGTGGGGTATGATGGCCGGGCGTTAGCCCCTATAGTGGCCCGGCATTCCCTCTTGAGAAAAGAGGGGGACTGGTGCCAAAATTTGTCCCCCAATAGCTCACGTTCGATATATTAAAATTCTAACATGACTCCGAGGCTTCAGGGACAAAATTGCAAGTTTTTCATGACTCCATTGTCTTGCAATTCCCAGAAGAGACTAGATCACAAAGAAAATAAAACCAAATATAGACAAAAAATTACCAGAAAGCCTCGGAGTCATGTTAGAATTTCACTATATCGAACGTGGGCTATTTATTGTATTATCGTTGCTGGGGACGCGCAGTGGGGCGCCGGTCATCTTTTGGCCAATTTATTTCCCCTGTCCCCGGTAACAGTCCCAGAAGTCTTTGCGAATGTTTACTCGGCCCAGTTTCCTCTCATTTCTAAAGTGGCGAATACGGGAGACTCCACCCTGTATAAAACTTTTTTGAGTCATCCTCTCCCTCGCTTGGATACGATATTAGGTTTGACAATAGCAGGGGAAATCACAGTAATGAAATTTTACAGCCTTAACGCTGTCTTAACTTTGTAAACTTTTGTCTGTCTAAAGACTTCAAGTCATACGAATATAGATTACTTACGTTAGCACACGATTGTTTTTATAACTTTTCACCCGTTCCAATTATGAAGCTGTTTACGAAATATAAGTGCAACTATGACTTGCGAAGGAAATTGACCTTTTTGTTACCAAAACCAAACACTGAAGCTCTTCGCAAGTCCACTTGTTTCAAAGCGGTATGTCTATGGAATTCTCTTGACAATCATACGCGTGCAATCTCTCAAGCAAAAGTCTATTTCAAAACTCTCTTAAACGCAGAACTTCATGCAAATAGCTTAGTTTATAGATATATATTTTTAAATAGGTTAGATCTTTTTCTAAATTTTAATCAGTTTTTAGCTTTTTCTTCATTTGTAAACTGTGTTTAAAATTTAAATTACACGACCACATCAGCTCCGCTGTAATTTCATCGAGTTTTAATAGATGTTGTTGTTGTTTCTGTTACTTGATTGACAACTAATAACTAGTATTGTACTTCAAGCGACGATGTTCTCTTGAATTTTACAATAGCACTCGAGCCATTATACTGGCTGTACTATCCTGCTCTTTCATAGCTTATCTCGCTGGCTTCGTTGTATTGACTAAACCTTCGTTTTTTCAGCACTGTATTAAGGGAAGAATGGTATATGCACCTCAGATAGTTTTCCTGAATTGCGATGGAAGCAGTGCGTTGCCGAGGGGATCTTGGTACCACTATAGCTATGGGACAATAGCCACTTACAAACAGGACTGGGACAGCTTTGGGGGATTTTCAAAGGACTTTCTCAACAAGATAACGTGGGGCGGCGAAGACTGGGACATAATCGACGGAGCTGTCAAGGGTGGACTGGAAATTGAACGAAAACGTTCTCCGTGGATTTACCATTACTATCATTCCAAAAAGGGAATGTGGCAAAAGAAAAACGTTAGTAAAACGGGTCTTGCGGCAAAGAAGCCTCCTCCCATGGTTAAAGCTCCGCCAAAAAAGGAAACTTCCACTAAGGCAAAAGGCGTGGCCCAAAACAAAGCAGCAAATCTTCATAAGGATCGTAATCTTCAAAACAAGGTCACCAGTCATCAAACACAAGTCTCCTCTGGTAAACAGGCCCATCTGCAAACAGTAGGCAATCCCCCAAAAGAACTCTCTGCTCAAAAGGGACCTTCTGAAAAGAAGGCTCGAATCCAGAACAAAGCCCTTAACAAAAAAGATGCTAATAAGCAGAAAGACATCTCTCTTCCAAGACAAGCAATTCTACAAAAAGAAAACCACTCCCCAAAGGAAACCTCACCGAAAAATAAAGACCTTCCCAACATAAAGGCCCCTCTCCACGAGAACGTCGAGTCACAAAATAACCTACATAATCAAAAGCAACCACACGACTGGAAAGACGGCTCTCATGAAAAAGAACTGCTCGCAAATAGAAATATCATTTCTCCCAAAAAAGTCCTACCACAAAAGAAACACGTTGATCACCCAAAACAAACCTCTAAACAAACAAGCCAAAAGCAAGCCCATCCACAACAAAAGATTGTGTCTCAGAAAGAAGTCCAGCTTCAGCATTAAGAGGCCTGTGCGGAAGGAAAAAAGACCCCCCTCGAATGAGACTGCCGCGCAAAGAAGACCTCAACGCAAAGGAGGGACGGAAATTAAGGCCCAAACGCTGGAGTTCGTTACATTACCCGAATGTCATGTCCCTCGAATAAGGAGAATTTACCCTTCAAAGGAAAATTCTTCCAAAACTTAAACACTAAAATATAAACATATCCTTCGCCGAAAGGCTGAGACTTCTCTGCATGAAGCAAAAATATACCTGTCGGGTAAGACAAAGTTTACAATTAACAATTTATTTCTTTTGTTCTAAAATATGTCATTTAATTAGTTGTGTCCTTGTCTTGATCGTTATTTTATAAGACAATAGAACAATTATTCATAACATAAAGTGATACTTTTTACTCATAAAAAATGCCGTTTCTAGCATTCTGAGAGGCAAATTTACTGATCATTCAAGTAATGGAATCCAGGCCGGTCCATAAAGTCCAGATTCCAGATACTGGATTCCAGTTTTAGGGCCTGTTTACATGAAGTTGGGGGACCCCAGATAGGTGAGGTAACCCGCCTGTCCATGCAATCTCTCATTTTAATGTGATCACGTTTACATGTTAGGTGGGGTAACCCGCCCCATGTTACCTCACCTACCTGGGATCCCACACCTTCACATACAGAGGCTCTCAGTAATCAGTACTTGGATTTTGCATTCCAATCGTATTGGGATTCCGGATTCATTGAGCTGCATTATTCCACAAGCAAAATTCTCCCGGATTCCGAAATCCGAATTCCCCTACATGGGGCGATACTGAACTAGAAGTGTTTTGATTTGCTGAAACTCAGGCGAATCTTTTTTATGACACACAGAGAAAAAATCGATTGTTGTTGAGCCGCGTCCGAGTTTTACAAATCACTGTATGTTGTAAGTGAGTTCATGCTGATACTGGCCGTTCTTTTTTTTCTGCGCTGAAAATGGTCTTTTTTGTTTAATTATGAACGGGACCCACGGGTAATATTCACCGCACGAATTTTTCAGCCTCGACATATATGGCATATATGTTCGATCGAAAGCCCCTCAACCACCCACAGATTCGCCTAAGCGTGCGGTCAGTGGCTCCTGCCCTCCGTAATTTCAGTGTCATTACTTTTCATTGTCTTAGTCCTTTTCCTTATAAAAACGCCCTAAAAAAAGAGAACTCAACCAACATTCAGCCATTTTGACCTAACGGGTGTCATCTTTAAGGAAGGAGGGAATCCCCCTCACCACCAACTCTCCACCCTTCTCGCCCGTTCAAAAAATGGCCGAGCGAACCAAAGCAATGCGCAGCCTGGGGTGAGAAAGAAACCAAAATGGCGGCCAGTAGTGTGGGCAAGCTTCTATTGGAATCACGTACTTTTGGACCAAAAAACATGCTTTTCGATGTCCAAATACCGTACATCGCACTTTTAAGCGCATGGTTTATTTATTTGTATTTAAAAGGATGGCTTGAATAGCTGAATAGCTCTGGCATGTTACAAGAGAACTTTCATTTCCATTTTGGTAAGTAAAAGAAGTTTCATTTTAATCAAACAGTCAATCTGCAGCTAGTTAAAGATGCTGTTTCTTGAGCTAGGTTGACGAGGAGGGTGGGTAGTTATCAGATCTCTGGAGGTTGGTCTTTCTATCAATAACAGTGAACTTACGCAAGAGGCAGGGTCTAAAATACAGATCACTTTCCACAGGTCAAGAGTACAAGTCACTGCTCCATCGATAAACTACCAAACCACACAGATTCCCCTTGTTCTGATAGAGCATTTTGTTATAAGATTAGGGCTATGAGACACTGTTTATCTTTCTGTATCATAGTGACCTGTACTATGACCAACAACAACAACAACAACAACAACAATGTATTTATTTAAAGAAATATAAAGTTTACTATTTTATATCCTGCAAATAGCTATAATGCTAATCTAGGCAGGACAAGACTTTAAATAAAGACGTTATTAAATTACATAAGAAAAAAGAAAAGAAAAGAAATACAAATACATACAGATAGAAATGCCTTACATATAAATTCAAGTACAGGGGATTTTGTTATTTGAAAAGGACTAAAACTACAGGTGAAGGTATATATAACATATCAGGTTAACTTCACAAAATATTCTATTAAATAATTCACATTCAAATAATTATCTTTATTACCTAGAACATTAAGGAGTAGTGATTTAATTTTTTTTTACAAAAATTAGATATGTTGAGAGTCTTAACAGAAAGTGGAATAGAATTCCAGATGGACACACTAATTCTAGTAAAAAGATTTTTTCATTTTTTCAGTTCTAGAGAATTTGACAGAGAAACATTCTTTTGCAGATAATCGCGTATTATAATGATGTTTTGTATTGATTTTTGCAAACTTATCGAGAAGACTTTTAGGAGCTGTCTTAGCATGAACGTCATACATTAAATAGCTTAACTGTTGAAAGAACAAAGACTGCGAAGGAAGCCAGTTTGATTCAATAAATAAAGGGATTGCATGGTCTCTGGGTTTAGAAAAATAAATCACATGCAGTGCACGTTTTTGCAGAATAAGTATCTTATTGAGATAGGTCTGTGGACAGTTGCCCCAATGCGCAGATACCATAATTTAAATAAGGAGCAATAAGTGCATGATATAAATTCAAAAGAAGATGCTGTGGAATGTAATGCCTCATTTTGGCAATTATTCCAACCGATCTACCAATTTTGTGACAGATAAAGTCAATATGATGCTTCCATGATAGTTCAGAATCAATCATTTATACCCGAATATTTAACAAAGTCCTTCATCTCTAGAATTACGCGAGTATTTAAAGTTGGGTTAAAAATCTTAGTTTCAGGAATGAAAGGTATTCTTTTTTGGCGCCGACGAGAAATGACATAATTAGACTTTTTGACGTTGAGCGTTAGTTTGTTAGCATTAAGCCATTCACTTACTTTCTCAAGCTCATTGTTGACAGTTAGTTCAAGAGTACGTAAGTTGTCATTTGCATAGGTTAGACTTGTATCATCTGCGAATAGATAAAAAGTAAATTCCTTGGAAGATTTATGGATGTCATTGATAATAACAAAAATAACAAGGGTCCAAGTACAGAGCCTTGAGGCACTCCATACGATCGTTTCAGTTTCAGATATGCATTTGTCTATTTCAATCGACTGTCGGCAATCTGAAAGATATGATCTAAACCAAGAATTTATTCCATAGTGTTCAAGTTTTGTCAAAAGAATCTCATGGTTAACAGTATCAAATGTTTTCTTAAGATCTAGAAAAATTCCACATGAATACTCTCTATTGTCCATATTAGAATGTATGGTGTTCACAATATCAAGAATCACGTGCTGGGTACTATGTTTATTGCGAAAGCCATATTGTAAGTCATAAAGAATATCATTCTTGTCTATAAACTTTATCAGTCTACGATATAAAAGTTTCTCAAATAAACAATTATAAATCAATAACAAAGAAATTGGCCGATAGTGACCAGTGGAAAAGTGATTTGTACTTTAGACCCACCATACAGTTTCAGTCAAAAATAGTTGGGACACTTTCGTCAAATGCTGTTTTTTGTCTTCTCCCCTGTCTCCTTGTATTCCCAATGTTGGTTATTGCAGTTAACTTACCAAATCTTCCACATATACATTGGGAAGGCAAGAAGACAGTAAAGTGTCCAAACAAGTTTGACTGAGACTGTAGTATGAGGTAGTAGTCGTAAGCAAACACCATCAACCTAAGAGCCAATGGTGTAAGGTGGGAGGTGGTGAGGGGAATAGTCAAGGCTGTGCTGAGAGCAAAAATTATAGTGAGCCCCAAGAGCTCTAACCTGTGAAATCTGGGCTGCCCAGGGTTTTGTCACCCACGGGCGAATTAAAGTAAGTCCCTTTCGGCCATAGGTAATTGTTGCAAGAGTACAGGCCTGATAATGAACAATAATAGTTATTGTTTGAGGGTTATATTTTGTGATACCCAGAACAATCAAGGTAGAGGTAGACTGATAACACTTTACCAAAAACTTGATCATTGGGAATACAGTGGAACCTCTCCTTTGGGACACCTCTATTCAAGGGACACATCCATTCAGGGGGCACAAAATTTGGTCCTGGAATAATGCCCACATAATCTTTGTATCCAATACCTCTCTCGAAGGGACACCTCTATTCAGGGGAAAAGGACACATTGTCATCCATTCAGGGCACATGACTGAGCGCAAAAAGGGTTGATAACTTTTAACGTAGGGGTTTGGTATAAAAAGGTTCCCCCCCAGCTCAATCAAATTTTAAAAAAGATTTGAAACATGTCAATGGTTAGCTGTGTGATGTGAGAATCCACTTTACTCTCATTCTTGGAAAAAATCAAACATATCTAGTAAAAAAATAAATATTAACTTATGCAACATCATTGTAACATGCAATTTGTATAGGTAATGGCATGATTTGTAGTGATATTTGGCATAAATACCACAAGTGATATTTTGAAATTGTTATACGTAATTTCATGAGCCATTAGGCGAGTGAAATTTGAGACAATTTTGAAATATCACAAGTGGTATTTATGCCAGTTATCACATACATATCATGCTATTTGTTTATACTACTGTCCGCAGTGGTTTTGTAATTTTCACGTGTAGGTATTTCAAATTAAGCTGAAATACCACTGCTCTAAGCCAATCAAATTGCAGAAATATCCCATGCAGTAATATAAATAATTGTAATGTGAAAGAGTTGATAAAAATACTGAATGGCAAATCCAATGACTCAATGAGCCTAAATCTTTACTGGTTTTTGCTTGGTTCTTAACTTGGTTCTTGGTTCTTTCCTTCTGATACATCTGTTACAAAGTACCGTAGAGTTAGTTAAATAGAACGAGTGTGTTGTGATAAGAGCGTTTCTCGAACCAGAAATGTGAACATTCGGGAACATTTGTTGTAGTACAGGGCCATTTTTGAATGGAGCCAATGAAACATGCAATACACTGCAGTTGAACGGTTGTTTTATTTGCATC